ACTTGCTAATCACTCCCAGATGTAGGCTAGACTAAATGGGGTGGTTTTATAAGCTCCTTAAAGTTTAATAATCCAAATTATAGAGTGCTTTTAGCAAAATGTAACAGGAAGAGTACCAGCCAGGGAATGAAAAATGTAGGTTCAGGGTCATGGTCACACTAACAACTATGTGGCCTTGGCCAAGCCTCCCACTCCCTAAAGCCTGCCTCTTCTACCAGAGGTCAAGTGCACAGCCTGCTGGATTAGGCAGACCTTAGTTCAAACCCCATCTCTCTGAAGTGCAGCCACTAACTTAATCCATCTTGGACTCAGTTTATCTTCAAATAGTATAGTGATATCATCTCATAGGATTGTCATGAGTACTAAAGTTCCTAGCACAAAATCTAGTGCCTAGCAAGTGGTCAGTAAGTTTTCACTGATATTATTAGGATTCAGCCCAGCAAATCTCACTGAGTCATTGTGAGGACACACGGTTTCATATATTCAGCCTTGAGTTAACCAGAAAATACAATAATTTGGAGGTACTATTATTGGCTGAAGCTAATTCCAGAGCTCCTGGGAAGAGAAGTCTCTTTCTGCCCCCTTAATACTTACAGAAAGTTCCTCCGAGACCAAAGTTGAAAAAAGTTCTGGAGACGTCCCATCCCAGTGAGATCAAGGACCAGCGGCAGGTTGGCCGTGCAGTCTTGTGATGGTTTATAGCTGCTTTCTCATATGAGGCTGAGTAAAAGCCAGGTTCTTGGAGCCTGAGGAATGCCTGGGCTCAAAAGCAACATCAGTGATTGGATTGAATTAGTCTCATGAGAATAAAAAAGCAAATCAGGTGTGCACTATATCATTTGGATATTTTTAAATGTTCTTGCACTGCAGTGGGGATTACACAATGTGACAGGTCTGATATATTTAGCTCTGAAACTGCAGAAATTTTCAAACTTTTCTCTTTTGTGTCTTTCCTATGAACACTGCCAAATGCACTCTGAAAAAGCAACTGAGCTTCCAAAATTTCTAGCTGTCACTGAATAGGAAATTTTGGATCATGTAGCTCCCTGAGCTGATATAAACAAATTTGTCCATTTTTTAGGACACTGATATCATCCACTCATGAAATTTTGTTATCTTTAGTGGCATAGCATAGTTTGTGCATACAAACGCAAGCATTCAAGTAGTAGCAGAGAGACAAGGATTTGAAGAAAGAAAATAATAGAGAAAGGGAGAGAAACATCAACTAAATTCTCGAAAACATACCACTATGCTGGGAGCAGTGGTGCACACCTGTAATCCCAATGAGTCGGGAGGGTGAGGCAAGAGGATTACAAGTTCACAGCCAGTATCAACATCTTAGAGAGGCCCTGTCTCAAAATAAAAACTAAAATGGGCAGGGATGTTGCTCAGTGGTTAAGCACCCTGGCTTCAATCCCTGGTACCAAAAGAAAAAATAAATAAATAAAAACTATCTTGCTACACTATTTGAAACCCTTGCATCAGTTGAACAATCAAAATGTTCCACACGTCAGACTCTTGGGGCATTTCAAATTAACTAATGACATAATGATAACACTCAATAAATGTCCCTATATGTTGGAGACATAGCTGAGGACTTTCCATATATCAACTAACTGAATACTTTAACAATCCTTTGAAATTAATAGTGTTTCCATTGTACAAATGAGAAAATTAAAGCTGAGTTTAATGAATTTGCCCGAGGTCACACAAGTTCTGTAAATCCATTTAAGTACATCTAAATCTTTCTGACACTAAACCCCAACTACACTGGCTGTACTCTACTAGCTGAGAATAACATATCCAAAACCCATTTTACCCAATATTTAATCTCCCAGTCCCAAGAAAATATTAACAGATCCCAACGTAAGAACTCTGTCCTCCTCTCCAGGACCCCAGCCTCCTTATTTCAGAGAGTAAAGAGCAAAAACTAAACACAAGACAGGCGACAGAAAGAAGGGATCCGTGAAGAAATCTGAATTGATGAACAGACAATTGTTCAAAGTAACTTCAGTTGAATTCACAGAGTTTTCAGAAAGTTTAGAAACTTAAAATCTCTGTTCAATTACAAAATCATATATTGGTTAGGCAATTTTCACACCAAGTAAAAGACAGAAATTTCTCAACTGAATTCCCAGCTTCCATACCAGCCGATCTGCCAACTTCAAAAACCCTATCACAGCCATGAGCTGTATGCCTATGTACCAAGTTGATTTCTAACCTGTCTTACTGATGGGCCACATAATATTTTAAACTCTAGAGAAGTCTGAAACTGAGTTGTAAAAAGGCCAAAGAGAGGGAGAGTAATTCTGACTCAGTCACCAAGTGAGACCACCAAAAAGAGACACACACATGAGGCCAGGAGCATGTCATCTATAGCAGCCCTGAAGCTTTTAAAATTCTATGTGGAAGGAATCAATTGCATTTGTGTGTTTTGCGTGTGTGCACACATGCACGCGAGCATACACACACACACACACACACACACACACACACACAAGTCCAAACTGGAGATTTCCTACTAGCCAAAAACAGAGCCACTCCCTCCTCACGACTCAGTGACCCCCAGTGCCAAAAGCTGTTTAGCATGTGAGTAACATCCTGCAATTGACCATTCGATCCACATTTTCCTGTGAGTTAATAATATGACCTCTCCAGAGGTCTTGTTATGAGTACTAAAACTGTCTGTTAACTCTCTTATGGACTGCTGGGATCGGTATTTAATCTTCAATAGGAATTTCAGAAGGTCAACGTCCCCATCTGTGAGGAATGCCTTGCAAGTAATGAAATAAGGCAGGCAGGTTCACCCCAAGGAGGTGGAAGTCTTTAAGAGTGGATGACCAAAGGCCTCTAGACCAATAATCATGTGGGACCTGGGGTGGAGGGAACAGGGGAGAAAATTATCTCAGGGAGAGAGATTCTTAAATCAGTGGGGAAAAGGGAAAACATAAGAGATGTGGAGTGTCGAGCTACTGGGACATTTGGTTTCGGTTCACTGCACAAGCAATGGTTTAGGCTCTCATTATTGATATTACATGTGCATGCTCATTGTGTTTCAAGGGCACTCAGAGCAAAAAAAGTAGTAAAAATCTAGTGGAGCAAGTATGTGATGGAATTAAAGCTAGAACTTATCAGTGTATGGAAAAAAAAATTAACCCAAATTATTTGCAGGTCCTGGTTTGTCCGAAGCCTCTGGTTTCCCATACCCACAAGGAGTGCTCCATGAAATGTCAGCTTTCTCATCTCAAAGTCAAGAGCATCCTAAGCCCACACAAACCACACAGCTCAATGGCTTCTCTCTAATTTCCACATCTATATTTATCTGACTGTTGATTTAGCCCAATCATCCTTGATAGCACCATACAGAGGGATGCATCTTCACATCCGCTCCCCCACCCCCCCTCGCCGGTCAACTGGCCATGAGAGAATGTTCACACAGATGTGAGGGCACAGGCACATTCATTTCTCTCAAATTTCAGTTTGGGAATCTCCATTCCAATATAGTCATACAAATAGTTTTCTTCTTCGAAATCACTTATAGATTATACAGCTTACTACCCATAAGTAATATCTAGGCTTTTCCTTACCAAAAGGCTATTGGGGAAATTGCATGTTTATCCATTGTCATATTTCATGCAGGATAATGTATAAAGAGATTGTCATATTTCTTCATACATTATGTCCAGTTTTCAGAGAGCTCAACCTACCTATGAGGAAGTGATACACACCAAGGAAGTTATACACACGGAGGATCCCAAGAAGTCCCCACAAGATAGTAAAGAGCAGAACCGGAACTTGAATTCATGTGTCCATTTGACTTTGAAGCCCACACACGTCACTGTGGGCCACACTGCGTCTGTAGACAGGATTGTTGTCTACCTGGACCTCATGAATGGTATAAAACATCCACCCTGTACCCTTTTCATTTTTCTAGTCTTACTTATCTACGCTTCATCTCAAAGATCTGATGTGATGTCAAGAAAGAACCATCCCTGAATATTTTCTAACGGTTGTTTAGAGGATGTAGCATCAATGTGATTTATCCTGGAGTTAAAGTGGTTTGTTTTCTAGCATCAGTATCAAGCGATGATTTGACACAGAAATTATCATAATATTCATCAGGGAAGCAGTCAGGACCTGAAACTGGAAGCTGCCATTCCACCAGCATGCTTTGCCACCCTGAAGAGTGACACCAAGAGCAGAAGAAACGCCCCAGAGTGAAGGACTCCAGTGTGTCTGGGTGAGCTGCCATGTGTATGATCTGTGTCCCCTCCCCCAGAATTGTCTCTGCAGAAGTTCACCAGCACCTTCTACCTGCTACAGCAAATGAGTCCCACATTTTGGCCTTCCAGCCTCCTCCAGTCTTTGCAAAACCCCTTGACTTCTCAATTGTGAGTTCGTCTTGTTTTTATACCTTTACTTTATTTATTTATTTTTTTGTGGTACTGAGGATCAAACCCAGTGCCTCACATATGCTAGGCAAGTGCTCTGCCACTGAGCCCCAGCCCCAGCCCCCTGGATCAGTGTTGCTTGGCTGTATAACCACCACTTGAGAGAAAATTAATTTTACATGCAATGCATTCACATTTATTTGAAATAGATGTTAACAGAATATTAATGAAATGAACATTGAATTTCAGAATCAGAAGACTTGGGCTTAAGATCTGTATTCATTCACCTATTAGTTGCATGATGGAAATTTATTAACCTCTACCATTGAGGAATCTGTGAAGTAATATAATAATACCTACTCCAGAGTATTATTCTTGGAGATAAATGAACCAATGCGCATAAAGTTTTTGCCTGATACCCAGTAATGCCTGATACCAGTAAAAATTCAAAATGTATTGTATTTCTTTCTGGTCTTTCATGGGGTAGAAAAAAATAACACACCCAAACCTCAGCCTGCTTATTGGTAAAACCAAGAATTCAGATATAAAAAGAAAGGTAAGCTCTATACAGAGGACTGGTTCCAAATTTCTATCTGTTTTTATATTTGTAAGCTACATCTAATGTATATTAACAACTTCAGGGAGAATTCATATTTTTTATGAAAGAAGAGAACATTCCTAGCACATTTAAGGCTGATCTCTCAACAAATCATGGAAACATTTTCTCCCTTCATGATTGCTAAGAGCCATCAATAACTCCTGCAGGGAAGGTGGTCTAGGACAAAGAGAGACCTGAACCATGTTCCTTCTTCTTCTAGATCACTGAGCAAGAGACAGAAAGGGAAAGAAAATGGGGGAAAATAGTATTTATTTCCCTGAATCATTTCTTAAGGTGCTAACAAAATGAGGGGTGGGAGTAGGGGAGAGGGAAGGGGTCGGGGGTCTGACTCCTTTACATCTGAGGATCTGATCTCAGAATGTAGCATCTGTTTCTGCATTTTCAAAATGCTCACCAACTATTAAACCTCCAGATGGGACTGCTACAATGTGGATTCTTGCAGTTCACTCAAGATCATTAACATTTTTTAGCAAGTTAAAACTGTGACTTCCGAAAGATAGGTCCACCCACCACCTCAGAATGGAATCATATTTAGAATCAAGATCTTTGCTGATGTAATTAAAGTAAGGATCTCATATAAGGATCTGGGCTAAGTGATCCTGGTATAACATCATTTTGGATTAGAGTGGGCTCTGACTCCTAATGACAACTATACTCTAAGAGACAGAGAAGACAGAGACCCTGAGAGAAGATGTCATACAAAACAGAAGCTGATATTGGAGCTATATATCCTCACACTAGGAAACACCAAGGACTGCCAGCAGAATCTAGAGAAAGTCATACAGTGTATTGTCCCCCAGATCTTCTAGATGGCACCAACCTGCCAGGACCTAGATTTAACATGCCTGTAATCCCAGCTGCTTGAGAAGTTGATGCAGGAGACTCTCAAATTTAAAGCCAACCTCTGCAACTTAGCGAGGCCCTAAAAAATGTAGCAGGACTCTGTCTCAAAATTAAAAAAGATTGTAGTCTTATAAAACTCTTAAAGGATACATGTCCATTGTCTGAATCCACCAAATTTATGGCTGTTTGTGACAGCAGTCTCAGGAAACCAATACGCTTGCCTTCACAAGAAACCAGATAATGAATCTGCTACAACCCCAATGATGAGGGAAAAGACTGCGATGGTTATGCATGGATATCAGTGTGACTAGATTGAAAGATGCCGAGAAAATTGGTGAAGCACATTTCTGGATGTGTCTACGAGTGTGTTTCAGAGAAAATGAGCACATGAGTCAGCCAACTGAGTGGGAAGACCTACCCTGACTATGGGCAGCACTGACCAATAGTCTAAGGGACCAGATGGAAACAAACAGTGAAAACAGGGAGACAGTCATACATGTACTCAGTCCTTCTTGATTGGGTACATTTTGCTGTTGCTGCTCAGGAACATCAGACCCTAGTTCCTAAGCCTTTGAACACACACTAGTGACTCCCCCAGAAGCTTCCAGGCCCTTCTAAATGGGGCTGTATCATTTTCCTCTATCTTTCCCGAGACTCCAGCTTCTTGAACTGAGTACTTACCCATTTCCCTTGCTCTCCAACCTACAGCCAGCCATGATAGGACTATTTAACTTCTGATCTTGTGAGTCCATCTAATAAACCCCTCATATATAGTCTATTGTTTCTGTTTCTCTCAAAAATCTTGGCTAATAATATAAGTATAAATGTTTATTGGCTGTTCTTTTGATACAGAAACTAAGACACAAATAGATAGTTATCTCTGCCTCAGTGATAAGTCAATGACGAGGATAAGTCTCCTGATCCCATCCCAGGGTTCTTCACAGAGGACTGAGATGCATCCTATGTGGAAAAAGCAACTCCTGAAAATAGTTAAAGCCATATAGTTTCATTAATAAACAGACATTGACTATGAAATTTCCAGTGTGCCAAGACTTTAGATCTTATCGCACTGTCTCCAATTGGTTTTGGATGAAGTCATCTATAAATGGAAACACCTACATCTCCTACATCCTGCATTCCCACGTCACCCAAAGTTTTAGCCTTTGTTTGCAGGACGTAGAAACTTACTAGACCGCAGCAATAAAAGGCAGGAACTGGGTCTTTTCTTTCCTGTTGCATACCACACACTCACATAGGGCTTAAAAGGAAACAGTTAAGTGAGAGAGGCCACCCTGTCTAAACCTAGCTTGACAGGGTATATGGCTGACCAGATTTGGGGGTCCTCAGTGGAAGACCACAAGGAAAATTGCTGAGAACCACACAGATGGCTCCCCAACCTCAGCTCCATCTATCAGAACCTTCTTCAGTTGGGTACATACCACACCTCATCCCACAGTGAAATGCTGACTGATGAATCCCTGAGTCACCTCCCTTTTGTGAGCCCACAAGCCAAAGAGTAATGTGGTGTTTCCAGCCTGATAACCTATAAGTTTACTCTGTTCTACCCTCAGCCAGAAAGCACATTGCCACATGAAGTGAGTGTGATATTGTGGAAAAACATTGAATCCATCTGGTTTCTCAGCTGAGTGATTTCTAACTCAAAGTACTCTTTTCCTTGTAGGTTTGGTTCTTGGAACAAAACTTCTGACAAGTCTTGCCAGCGAATCCTGAGACTATGGTTGTCAGCTCTGACACGTAGACAGTGGCTGCACTCTGTTTCTGAGATGAGGGTCTCCGGCCATTTCAAATAAATAATTTCAATTTCCAATGCTGTTGTCTGAAGGGTTAGACACAGGCTGAGGGAACTCTGGTACAAAGGTATACCTGGGACAGACTCCACAGGTCAGGAGAGGCAACTCCAACAGGCACAGCCTATCCAAGTTAGGAAAACCAACCCAGATGCACCGCTATAGAGAAGCCGGGCAAAAATCAGCCTGTTCCAGGGGACATTCTGATTAAACCCAAGGGATCTGCAATCTTCTGGGGGATCAGGAAGCTCCCGTGGTCAAAAGAATCATGCTAAAAGCTCCAGGACTTGGATTTAAATTCTGCTTAGACAAATGGGAAACCACCCCCATTCTAAACCACAGCTTAAGTGGGCCAGAAAATTAAGTGTGTTCTGAGAAGAGGAATAAAGACATGTCTCTGGGTCAAGGGATTTAAGTACACTGTAGAGGCATAACATGGCAGCAAAGATCTTCATGAACAAGAGGTTCTTGCCCTTCTGCCGAGTCTGTAAAAGTTCCACAGCTCTGTGGGCCTTGCCTGTCAAAGGCAGAAATGAATGACAGTGACCCAGTACAGCGTGTCAATCAATCAGCACACCTTTATTCACTGCCTGCAGCATGAGAAGACACACCTTCGCTTTCCAAGTCTGTAATGACAGGCAGTGTCATCCCCATGCCTCTCTTCCCATCACCAACTCCCTTCTTTCATCTCCAACTATTGAAATTCTACCTAACCTTCAAGGTCATGGCAAAGGCAGTCTCTTTTGTGAAGTTGCTTTTGATTCCATCTCTAGCCCCATCTTCACAAATACTATTGTTCCTCTCTTGGAGCCTCTCAGGGCACTTAGTTTTTGCCTCTATAATGAAACATCACCATCTTCTTTGAGGAAGTTATTGTCAAGAGTCAAATTCCCAACCAGGTTGTAAACTCTGTGCTCATTGGGATGCTGTAATGTGCAGCATGGCCCTGCATAGAATAGAGATCCAAATGCATTTAATGGTAAGTGCATGTATATTAATAGTTGAAACTTGGGGATGAGGAAGAAAAATGTTCAAGAATAATCCTTGCCCTCCTAGAATATTTTTTAAAGGAGAAACACACACACACACACACACACACACACACACACACACACACACACACACAGACACACACCTAAAAAGACAAAGCAGTAATAGGGAAGTTATAAATACAAAAAATTTACAGGCCTCCAAAACTGAAACCAAAGTTTTGCTGCTGCCAGAATATTTTGTTTGCTTATATTGTGGGCTAAATTCCTAAGCCATCATATCTTTGAAAAACGATTGAGCCTGATGCTGGGTTTTGCCACTAGGACCCAAGTTCCTATGAATTTGGGGGATTCAATAATCTCTACAGTTTTACAGTTTTATGATCTTATAAAAACATTGCAATCATTTCGCACCCTCTAAAGGAAGATGACCTTTAAACAATTATCATTTTACTTTTTCTTCTGAGATTTTTCTCATTAGTTTTTCATTGTCCTAATTAGAGTATTAAATCTTTACTTTGTATCTCAAAAAGAAATATTAGCCTGTAAGTTTTTTTTTTCCTTAAATTAGATTTAGGGAAATACCTTACCAGAAAAAAACTTAAATAAATCAAATTCCTTTAGTAGATCTTTGCTGCCATCTTAGCCTCTGGAGGAGAAAAAAATAAAACCATGTATACCAACAATGGATCAATGATTTCCCCCATTCTTACCAAAGCAGAATTAATTGATATTACAAGCCAATAAGCATCATAAAGGGAATAGAGTTAATGCTAACATAGTACTTTTATGTTTATTATAATTGTTTGAACCACAACATCATGTTTTATGTCATTATTCAAAATTTATTTTGATTCTTTGCTAAAGTTGAAGAGTGATGGAATAATTTTCACTTCCAAACAAATTTATGGGAAGTAATACAATAACATCACCTGAGCAATGAAGATGAACAATTTCTGACTTTAAAATTAGTGGTATGTCAAACCCACACAGATAGTCATCCAATCCTTGACAAAATTGACAAACGTATACATTACAGAAAACAAATATTTCTGGGAAAATTGATTATCCATATGTAGAAGATGGAGAAAAAGGTCCTTATCTCTTACCCTGCACAAAAGTAACCTCAAAGTGGAGCAAAAACCTAGAATTTAGACCAGAAACCATGCAACTCCTAGTAGACAAACATAAAGTCAACACTCTAATATACAGGTTAGGCAATGACTTTCTCAGAGGGACCCTTAAAACTCAGAATATCGTGCCAAGAGTTAATTAATGGGTGGCATCAAATTAAAAAGCTTCTGCAATGTGAAGGAAACAGTTAGCAATGTGAAGAGAGAACCTACAGAATAGGAGGAAATAACAAAGAACTTGAAAAATTTAACACTAAAAAACAAATAACCTAATCAATAAATGGGTAAATTATCCAAACAAACACTTTTCAAAAGAAGAAATACAAATGGCCAACAAATATATGAAAAAAAAAAGTTCATCATCTTTAGTCATCAGCAAAATGCAATTCAAAACTACTGAGATTTTTCTCTCACTCCAGTTAGGATGGCAGCCATGAATGATATAAGCAATAATAAATGCTGGAGAGGATGAGGAAAAAAAAGAAACACCTTTATACTGTTGGTAGAATTGTAAATTAATACAACCACTGTGGAAATCAGTATAGAGGTTCCTCAAAAGACTAGGAAGGAAACTACCATATGATCCAGCTAGAATATTAAGGTCAGCACAGTACAGTAATACAAGCATAACCTTGTTTGTAGCAGCACAATTTAAAATAGTCGAACTGAAACCAACTGAGGTGCCCAAGAGTGGATGAATAAAGACAATATGATATCTATACACAATGGAGTTTTATTCAATCATAAAGATAAATAAAATCATGTCATTTTCAGGGAAATGGACAGAACTCAAAAACATTACATTAAGCAAAGTTAGCCAAACTCAGAAAATCAAGGGTCATATGGTTTTTCTCAAATGTGGAAGCTCAAGAGGAAAAGGGGAAAAAAAAATGTGAGGAGGGTCTCATGAAAATCAAAGGGAGAGCAGTAGAATGGAGGAAAGAAATCAAAGGGCGGAAAGAGGGGAAGGAAAGGAGAAATATTGGGGAACAATACTGGCCAAATTTTATTGCTATACTGTATGCACATATGAATATGTAATTATGAATCCCACCATTATGTATAATTATAATGCACCAATAAAAATATGGAAAAAGAAAATAAAACAAATAAAAAATAAATAAAATTAGTCATTTGTATTTGTTAAGTCTCAGAGACAAGAGAAAGAGAGACTTTGTTAAAGGCAGAAGCTTTACCATGTCCTAGTGATCCATCATCTGCACATTTTCTTAAAGGTAGGGTTTGTGATCATGGAATTTCACTCAAGAGTAGAAAAAAGAAGAAAAGAAATATTTCATTCACAAATAATCTTATGTATATAAAACACTGAGGACAACATGTCATGTTCTTGCAGAAGAATTATTTCCCGTGTTTTGCCAATTTTGTGTGTGTTGGGGGCTGGAAGGGAGATTATGAATGAGGCGCATTTCATTTGCAATGTGAATTATTATTGAAAAACACGAGTCAATGTTGTATTAGTCAGTTTTTCACTACTGTGATGAAATTACTGAGATAATCAACCTAAAAAGAGAAAAGGGTTATTTTGGTTCATGTTTGGGGAGTTTTAGTCCATGGACAGTTTATTCCATTGCTTTTAGGCCCATGATGAAATAGCACATCATGGTAGAAGCCCATGGCAAAGGGAGCCCATTTACCTCATGGCCAAGAGTGAAAAAGAAAGAGAAAATGGAAGAGATGGATGTTCCACAATCCCCTCCAAGGGCACACCTCCAAGAAGACCTCTCAGTAGGTTCTACCTCTTAAAGTTTCTACTGCCTCCTCAATAGCCCCAGAGGCCAAAGACAATGCTTTTAACACAGAGACCTATGAGAGACACTTATCCAAACCACAGAGAATATAAATACTATCATCCAAGATTTACATTCATGAAAAATCTACTCACCAACCTCTTCTCACCTCCAGAGAGAGTAGCTACAGGGACAAGAGATCTGTCTGTAGGCTTCTCAGGATGGTGGCTGCCTGGGTTGATAAGTGGGCTCTTTGGGCTTCTGTCACTGACAGACAGACATAAGTTTTCTTTGGGTTCACAGCATCCATGGTAGAAAAGTGAGAAACAATTAGACAGGTGGCTTCTTGCTCTGGAAAAGATATTATGCTAAGGCTATCACCAGGATTTTGGAAGGACATGAGCTTAATGAATTATGGATGAAATGTGGGTCCTGTGTCCCAGTAGGTAATTCTTCTCCTTGCAGATCCATTGAGAGCAACTGCAAATTGTCAATTGGTGAGATTTGAAACACTGTAGTACCTGGGGCCATCCCCAGTGCCTTTGACTCATTTTATTTCCCAGAGAAGAATGATTGAGAGCTTCTTGGCAGCTCTTATGACACCTGAATTCTCCGTGATTCACAATACCTAAGAATTGTAGTTTCATACAGATACAGGATAGTTATCTGACTCCTGTTGGGTTTGTCTACGTGACTCAGCTCCCAATATCAACTGCAGATGCCATTGAACATTCTCTGGAGTCTCTTTTCAAACCAATTCCTATTTTGCTAAGATTAAGAGCAAACGTGCAAATAAATGGGGCATGATGATATTGCGACTATATTGATAATGAATTTGACTGTGAAGCTGTGGATGATCTTGAGCCATACCACCATCTTTATATTTTCAAAGCATTGATTTTCCTAAATTCCAGGACAATTTGTATTCCTTGGCTCATTCACTGAGACTTTTTCTATAGCCTGGGTAGAAAAAAAAAATCAAAGTGTAGTACCAAGGCTAATTTATTTCTTCTCTCCAAATATTTAATTTCTGATTGAATCAATAGCTGATTCCTCTCTGACTTGCAGAAGTTGAGGCCTCTGAGAAATTCATTCTTTAGCTTAAAGTCAGCCAAGCACATTTCCCGGGAGGTCTCTTCCTTACTTGATA